GGGCGGCGGCGGGCCCCTGCCGCTGCGGCTGGCGAGGATTGTGGTGTCCCCTGGGTGGCGGCCGATGGAGGCGGCCAACGTGCTGTGGGCGCTGAGCGGCCTGATGGTGGGGGATCAGCAGCTGACTCACAGCACATGCTCCCATCCAGGTGGGCCGGATCGTCTTGTGAACGGCCATGGCGCACGCCCGCCACACTCGGGAGGCACCGGCCGCGGGCCTCTGCGCCACGCGCCGCCACCAAGGGCAAAATGACTTGCCCGCTTTGTGCGGCCGCTCGCGGCGAGCCCCGGGCCCCCCAGAACAGCCACGACAGCCTTTGACACACCCCGTCCGCTTCGCGGCCCCCCGCACCCGTCCCTCCGCGCCAGGCCTCCTTCCGGTGGTGGCCAAGGCCCTTTCGGCAACGGCCACGCCTGATGAGAGCGTGGACAGGCGCAACATGCGGTACCAGGTGAGACGCGCCTCGCCCTCCTCCCTACCCTCGTGCTCGCAAGCACTGCGATCTCGCCCTACAGATCTGCAAGATCCGCACCCTATCCTTGTCTGCGCGCCACACTCGCAGCAGCAGCCCGCGGCGGCCGCCCGGCAGCCTCTGACGCGCCTATGAAACGCCGCTGCTCGCGGCCAACCCAAAGCACCCCCCACCTTCCCTGAACCGCAGGGGCTGGAGGTCGCCCTCAGCTTCCTGACTCAAGCCATCAGCGGCGGCTGCGCCGCCGCCGTGTTCTGCACCCCCCGCATGCTGGACGGCCTCGCGGCCATCCTGCGCGGCAGTGCGGACGAGAGCCACCAGAAGCAGTGCGCGGCCATTGTGAGGGTCGCCGTGGCGCGCGACAAGGAGGCCAAGGTGGTGAGCTTTGCCCCGGGGGTGGTGGCCAGGGCCGCCGTGAAGCAGCCCCCAGCCCACACTTTGGGGCCGCCCACATTTTAGGGCTGTCAGCGCAATGCATGTTATGTGTACCCTATCCTGATGTCCCAGGCCGCACTCCCATGCTGCTGGAATGGTCAGTCAACGCCCGCCCGTAGCCTCATTTCCTGACGTGCCCGTGGCCGCCGAATCGACCCACACCACCGCCCCTTGCGCACCCCTCCCCACTCGCCGGCGCCCTGCAGGCGTTCGCGCGCCACAGGGCCGTCATGGACGCCATGGTGTCCCTGGTGGTGGCGCCGGGGCCGCGCGAGCGCCAGCTGTCGGATAGTACTTGGGTGAGGCCGAGATCTGAGATCACTGAGCCGCGCGATCACGCTGGCAGGGGAGATCTTGCAGGGTTTGGTGCGGAGTGCTCAGAGTTGCAAGCGTGTTGCCGGGGGCTGCATCGGGCCGGCTGCGGTGCACCTGAATTTGCCAGAGGTTCCTTGGTGCTGTGTGATCGCTGCTGGCACATCAGATGGAGGCGGCAGAGTGCTGCGTTGCTTCTGCCTTTGAAGGCCACCACTTGATAGAGCGGGCACTGCGGCCATGAAACAAAGTCAAACATGCGCATCAGGCTTGCACACCCCTTGGCGACAGCTTGGGCCCCACGCACCATCACCAGGCTGCACCTGCCCACACGTGCGCGCCCCGCAGGCCGCCATGGCGGAGGCCCTCGGGCCAGTCGGCTGCAACTGCTGCGACCCCGGCGGCTGCTGCGCGGCGCTCGCGTCGCGCGCCGGCCAGCTGCTGCCCGCGCTCGCGCCCGCCCTGGGCGGCGGGCCCAGCAGGAGCGCGCGGCAGTCCGTGCAGGCCGAGGCGTGGCAGCTGCTGCGGTACCTAGCGGACTGCGACGCGGGCGTGGCGGACAGGGTGAGGGCCGGACTTTGGCCGGGTTGCCGGCCTGCTGCTCTCAGTACCACAGCTGCTCCCATGGCACCAGAAAAGGCACTGGTTTGCTCCACAGGGGGGACGCGTGGAGGGCTGCAGAGTCTCTTGCATTGGCACGCCCAATTATTCTCGGCCCAATGGATTGCAAAGCTCCTTCACGACGCTGATGACCCGCGCGGATACCCTCTTCCTGCAAACATTGCATTGCCTTGCAGGTTTCCAGGATGCCGGAGGTGCAGGCTGCCGTGGCGCACGCGCTGGCCTGGAAGGGGCAGGCGTCCCTACCAGGTGCGGGCTAGAATGTGACGCAGCCCCGATGAGCTGCCGGCTCGTTGCCGCACAGCACTGGTCGGCAAGGGTGTACGCAGGGCAAGCCCGCTCTCAGGAGCCCGCGTACACGTGCGCAAGACGGGAGCTGCCGGGTTGGCACCAAACGCATCGCTGCCCTCTCAGTGGGCGCGCACTGCTGTGTGCGAAGTGCATTCCACCGACTTTCTTCGCAGCCACCGCACTCACCCGTCGACCAACCAAGAACATGATTATTGCCTCAAATCCTCCGGACCAGAGTATGCCCCCGGCATGCCAGAAACCGCCGTGGGGCTGCTCGACCACATCGCCCGGCGCCAGGCCCGCCTGCGCGAGTTTGCCGACGCGGCCCCCGGCCTGGCGGCGGCGCTGGCGCGGCTGGCGGTCGACGCCCACGCGGACAGGCGCCTCGACCGGGCGGGGCTAATCAGCCTACAGGCGCTGAAGGTGTGAGCGGGGTGATGTGTGTCGACCGGCGCCTTGGCTCTTCCTCATGCCAATGACAGGGATTGCAGAATCGTCGGAGACCACGCATCTTCAGGGAGCAGCCTTTGCCAACCCGCACCCGCTCGTCGCCACCGCCAAACAGGCGACCGATTGACCATTCGCCAGCCCCTACGCGCTGCCACCATGGTGACGGCTCGTCACGGCCTTGTCCTATCCTACTTTAATCGCAGGCGCTGTTCTCTGTCCTGAGGGTGTACCAGGACGGCGCCGAGCTGGACGCGGTAGTCGCCAAGCAGCTGCCCGAAACCCTGCGCGGCCCCCTCGAGCGCGCCATGCGCGACGCGCACATGACGCCGCCCAATCCCGGGCAGGGCCCCCCCATGATGTCTCTCATGCTTGACATGGCCTGGCTGGAGGCTGGGCAGCGGCGGCTGGAGGAGTCGTGGCGACGGTTGCGGCAGGCACGCGCGGGCGGCGGCGGCGGCGGCGGCGGCCGCGGTGCCCGGGAGCAGGGCGCTCCTGCGGCGGCGGCGGCGGCGGCGGCAGGCGCACGGCCACAGCAAGGCGCCGGCGCGGGGACAAGCAGCGAAGCCCCGCCGCAACAGCAGGCGGCCGAGCCGGGGCAGCGGCAGGCGGCCACGCACGCGTGCGCCACGTGCGGCAAGGTCAAGGCGGAGGGCGTCAAGCTGAGGGCGTGCTCCGCGTGCCATGCTGTTTACTACTGCTCGGTAAGCTCAGGCAGGAGGCAGCTTGCTTGGCGCGCCATGCCTAGAGAGCTGCGAGGACAAGACACTGCGAACCCCTGGTGGGCACCGTGTGCCCCTCCACGCTGTAGGACTGTGCGGGCTTCATGGCGAGCTCCATCTGATGCTCTGCCAATTTTGTGTGATGACCCCTGCCCCTCTTCTGCAGGTGGACTGCCAGAGGGGCGGGTGGGCCGGCCACAAGGCGGCGTGCCGCGCGGCGCAGCACAATCGACAGCAGCAGCGCGAGCAGCAGGAGGGGCCGTGAACAACGCAGACCACGCGTGCTGTTTTGGTTGCGGACGCTGTACAGTTGTCATACCTTGTTGGGAGGGCCGGTTCTGTCTGTTTGGTAGCAGGGAGATCCGATGTGCTGTTGAGAGCGTGACATTTGCCCATTTGAGGGCACGCAGCGCAGCAGCAGGGGGACGGGCAGCGCGCTGCTCCATGTGGCAGCCCACACAACTGTCACTCGAGGACCTGACGAGGCGCCGGGCCGGCGCGGCCGCGCCGTGCGAGCTGGCAGGGGCCGCCCATGAAGCCGGGCGGCTGGGCCGAACTGGCATTGCGAGGGCGCAGGCTTGGCTCGCATGGTCCTTTGCACGATTACGAACCAAAGCGCCCCGCGGCTCGCGCCTGGCAGGAAGGTATCCGCTGCCGCCAGCCCCCCCAGCCCTCAAGAGGTGCCGCGGCACACTAGTGTGCACACCATTTTGTGCAAGGCGCTGCACTGCAAACGCACTTGGGACCCCCTTGCTGCAACAATAAAACAGGGCACATCGCAATGCAGCAACCCCGCCAACAGCAGCAGCAGAAGCAGAAGCAGAAGCAGCAGGGGGGCAATGACAGGGATTGCATCGATGAGCGCAGGCTGCTGCATCACCCCTGGCGCCCTCCTGCCGCCACGAAGCGTTGCATGCTGGCAGGCAACACACCAAATACATCGTCGACGTTACTCGGGAGCAAAGCTGCCCTGGCAGGCGCCTCATGGATCGCACCGCGACAGCAGGCCCAGCGGCGGCGGCAGCGGCGTGGGCGGCGGCCGCGGCTGCAGCGCAACTCAGCTCCTGTCGCATGCAAGCACGTGCGCAAGACGCGGCGGGTCGCGCGGCGGACACACGGCCGGTGAACTCTGCTTGCAGACAGGTACCGTCGTTGGAAGCGGCTCGCAGGAACAAACCGCGTCAAAACGGCCGCACGCCGCGCTACCCAGCTTCCAACCCCCTGCGCCGCCGCCACTCCAGGCGCCGCCTAGCGCCCGGGCTGCGCAGCGCGTGGCAGGTCAGTGCAGCAGGCCCGACGCCTTGAGCTCTGAAGCCAGGAGGTCGATGAACGCATCACTGGCCACCAGCCGCGCCAGCGCGCCCCTCAGCCGCTCCCGCGTGCCCTGCTGAAGCTGCTGCGGCTGCGGCGGCGGCGCCGGCGGCAGCGGCATGCCGCCGGGCAGCCCGAACGACCCGCCAGCCGCGGCTACGGCGGCCGCAGCGCCAGGGGCGCCCTGCGCCTTGCGCGCTGCGCTGTTGAGCATCTGCTGGAGGGATGCGCTGCTGCCGCCGGCGGCGCTGGTGTGATTGGCCGCGAGCGGCGCGGCCGCTGGCGCGGCG